CAGGACCGACCCAAGTCGGGCCGTGCCGTGCTTGGGCCGGGCAAAAAGCCGTGCTGTGGGTCGGGCCTTCGGGCCTAGTGCTTTATGGCCATCTATAGCACTAACCATACGATGCAGATCCCCACATAAAAAATCAATAGCATTCCACGCAAATCACAACCCCGGCACCGGCAAGAGCAGCCAGATCCCGCGCCTGCTCCACGTCGCTGGCCACGGCCGCGTCGTCTGCTCCTAGACGTACCGCCTCGCCGCCGTGCTCGCGGCGACCCGCGCCGCGGCCGACATGCGCGCCGAGCTCAGAGTCTCGGACGCCAGGTGGGGTACTCCGTCCCCCTCGACGACCGCTCCTTGGACGCCGACACGGTCGTCAAGTACACCTCGCACGGCGCGCTTCTCCGCGAGCTCGCCGCCGACCCGATCCTCACCCGCTACGGTGCCGTCGTGGTGGACGACGCGCACGACGGGATGGCGCTCACCGGCGTCGTGCTCAGCTGCGTCAAGGCCGCGGCGGCGCGCCGCCTGGACCTTCGGGTCGTCGTCTGCCTGAACCACTACAGCACCCTCTGCAAGGGCGTTGTACACGGCTTCTTCTCCGGCTCCGGCATGGATGTCAAGGAGCTCTGGCTCCGTACTACTCCGGTCTAATCGACCAATATTACCTCCCGGAGCCGGTGACACTACCTCGGCGCGGCCATCGACGCGGTGTGCCGCATCCACGCGACGGAGCCGCCGGGCGACGTGCTGGTCTTCCTCCCGGGCTGCACGGACGTCGAGGCAGCCGAGCATGCACTCAACGGGCTGTGCGCTGCTGGGGCTAGCTACATGCTGCTTACACGACGGCCTCCCGATTCACCGGATCCACGACGTGTTCCGGCCGGCGGCCGACGGCAAGCGGAAGGTAGTGCTCTGCTCGGTGTTCGTCGATGGCATCAAGTACATCGTCGACTCCGTCTACTGCCGAACGGACAACTGCCCCGTACTCCTACATCTGATCGGCGGCGGCGGCGCGCCTGGTTCGAGGCCTGAAAGCGGTCGTCCATAAATGGTGTCACATAAGGCGTAAGGTGAACGAATCGCCGAAGACGTGGCCGACAGGGACATTCTTCTGCCTGTACACGAGAGAGGAGAAGGGGTTTCCATACGCGTGGAATCCGGCGAACAAGATGGCGGATGTCAACGCCCTCACCGGCGTCAGCCTCACGTTCAAGGCGCTCGGCATCATCGGCGCCGGAGGTGACGACGTCGTGGCGAGCTTCGACTTCTTCGAGCTGCCCATCCAGAATCGATTCATTGGGCCGTGAGGACGCTCAAGTCAAGGCGGCCGGGGCGCTGGGAAAAAAAAATTCTCTGCGGCACTGCCGCACCACGTCTCGTGTGCAACACTGCGTAGATACCTGACGCGTGTCCATCTCCCGCTGTAGCCAAGCAGCCGTTTCTTTGGAGCCGAGCCGCTGTGCCGAAATACTAAAGCCGATTGGGATTTGGGAGCCGCTGTTCAGGAGTACATCAAAGCTGATTGCTGGAGAGATTTAATTTGTCCAGTTCACAACTTTAGATAGGAACCTATTGCATTGCGACACGTCTTAAAGCCTTGAAACTTGATGGTTTGGGGATATGACCGACATTGCTAATTAGCTTGTACTACTTCCGAAGAGTTTTGGTTATCTTTTTGCTTCTGCAAAATATAAACGGATTTACATGCTTCAATAACATGGTGTTTGTTGTGACTTATGAACATGGTGTTGTAGACATGGTTTAATTTTTCGGATTGGCCGATTCTATCGGACGTCACTGATATACCGAAAATTTGGAAATTTCAGTCCAAAATTTTCAAAATTTTGAGCAAATATTGGTTAAATTTAAAAAAAAATATTACCAAATTCACAAAGAATAAAAAAATAAAAAATCAGCCGAAATAATATCGTATCGAGAGTCCGAAATGACCAAAATTCATTTCGGAATTCCTAACCCTGGCTGTAGACGTACGGTTGTCTTTTACAATCTATATACTATTCGTCTGTTCTTCGTTAGCGGCAGATTTACTATCTGTTCTGTCTTCTAATGAAACAACAGCTCAACTCCGCGTGCAGTCGCTAACTGCGGCTTGATGTCCGTTCCAACGAGCTGAGGAAGACATCGGCTTGGCTCAAGGAAAACGCTTGGCTGCAGTAATATGACGGGACACGCGTCAGATGTGTACGCGGTGTTGTACAGGGGGCGTGGTGCGGCACCGCCGTAGAGAATTTTTTTTCCGGGGCGCTGAGCCAGGACGGCGAAGTGACCGAGACCGGGAGGCGGATTGCGCGGGAGATTTCGGGTAGATATTACTAAGCGCATTCAAACGTGCGCAGCACATCAGTGCGAGCCTCTGAATTGATATTTTTAGTTTTATCTGATCTGATTTACAACAAGGGGAAGATTTTAGTAGAGCATCTCTAGCAGGTCCTCAAACATAATCCCTAAATCATTATTGAGAGTTGATTAAAAAAAATATGGATCTAGCAGAGTCCCTACTAAAGCCTCAGTCTAAGTAGGCCTCTAGATTTGGCTGTGTATATCCTTCGTAGATATAGAGACCATATTAATGAAAATCAGCGTCATCGCCGTCCTCTCACAACCTCCTAGCAAGCAAGCCACCAGGTCATTTGCTCCGGCCGGAGACCCATGCCTCCGATTACGCCCAAGTGAGTCTGGACGCCCTCCCCGAACTTGCTGCTCACCCGCTGGCCACAAGGCCTAGCGCGGCCCATCGACAGCTACCTGTCACCGGCCGCACACATGCTGCAGTAAAAAAAATCAGAGATGATGGTAATTAAAACAAATCACAGCACTAAAGTTCAGTTTCGTATGTCTGAGTCTCGTTTGATTTTGATCTTTATGGGTCCATGGCCATTAGCTGCAGTACTAAAATATCTGTGCAAAAGGACAACCTGTACGTGCGGAAGATTCTTTGACTAAGGACAAAAAAATTCAGATTTGCTTCATCAATTGCAGCTAGAGGTGAAAACGATCGAAATCGGTAGCATCTCTTTCGAAACAATGCTCGATCGGTCGGTAATCGACTATATTTATTATTAAACTACTCAGTATCGATATCAGTACGATGCAGAAAAAATTGTGATAAAACAAAATTTAAAAATAATAAAAAACGGTACCCTATATACGAAAACGGCGCTCGGTCAATCGGCAATTGCAGCAGTTCATTTCCTAATCGTTAAACACAGAGGGATTGTGGCCGTGTTTAGTTGTTTTGGCAAAAAAAAAATTGACGTATACGGACACACATTTGAAGTATTAAACGTAGACTAATAACAAAACAAATTATAGATGCCGCCTGTAAACTGCGAGATGAATCTATTAAGTCTAATTAATCTGTCATTAGCAAATATTTACTATAGCATCACATTGTCAAATCATGGCGTAATTAGGCTCAAAAGATTCGTCTCGCAATTTACATGCAAACTGTATAATTGGTTTTTTTATCTATATTTAATGCTCTATGCCCAAACATTTGATGTGACGGAAAAGTTAAAAGTTCGAAGGAAACTAAACACAGCCTGTGTATGTTTTTTTTATGTGATTGGATTGAAAAACCTGCCTGCAACAAGTGCCCAATGAATGGGACAAAGAAAAAAATATATTACTTTTTCTATCTTTACAGCTTATTATTTTTTTCTTGATTAATCAATCGCATATGCATATTTTGTAGGAAAAGGCAACCTAGGAAGAATGACAGAAAGCACCCACCTGAACCTTCTACACCAATAATGATCACAAATAGGTTTACACTAACGCATGATAGCCTAGGAATGGTGACAAGAAGGTAACCGAAGTATTTGTGTGTGCATATATCTCATTCAAATTGTTGCTTATCTTTCGTGCTTGTGTGTAGGCGCTTGCAATGCTGCTAGGAGACAGATCAGGCACCATTGAATAAGGGTGCAAGCGGCTATCCGCGAAAATCCACTTATAGGCTAAACCAACCCTCAAACTCACTTATTTTGAATTATAAGTGAGTTCGTGGGTGACCCACTTGCATCCTTACGGGCACTGGAGAATTAGCAAGAGGCCTTTCGGGAGCAAGCACTTGTGGAGGCGGAGATTGCACTTTTGGAGCTAGCACTTCTGTAGGAGCTGGTTGCACTTTGGGGTAAAATAATTATGCTATCCCTAAGAAGAAAAAATTGACTCAATTTGACCGAGATTGTCTACTCAATTTATCCTTAAAATTATGTAGCTTGGTTGAACAATTTGTGTATGCACTGTATTATGGGTTGAATGGTTTGTTGAACAATTTGTCGCAAAATTTGTGTATGAACTGGATTGTGCGTTTGAATGCTTCGTGAACTTTTTGTTTGCTGATACTCATGAAAATGGTGTTTGATGCTCGTATGTTGCTATTCAATTTTGATGCATTGTCGTTGGTACAGAACTACAGAGAGACCACAGATCGATCTGATCTGTTTAGGAACAGCCAAAGGCATTTCGGTTAGTTCATGAAAGAAAAATGAGGAGAAAAGAAAATAAAACAGCTAATGGAGTGGCAACTATCTTGAAGTGGTAATTAAACTATATATCCCGAAGGCAACACATTGAGTGGCATTTAATCATTTGCATCCTAACGAGTGACATTTTGTTGAAGCCATACGTATAGAGTGGCATATTGTTCTTTTTCTCTTATATTGTAATTTTTACATTGAAATCCTTATGCTTGCATGAAATACAATACTGTAATACCCCGAATTTCGAATTAATATATTTCGGAGAATATTAGAAGAAACGCGCAAAATTTTAACTTTTAAACTGTTGTTCGAATAGGCGATCAGGAACCGTGGATGCGTAGAGCTCGCCGAGTAGTACAAAATAGACTATAAGTTTATTGTAATCGGAGTCCGAACGAAATCCAGGTGATCAAATTAATATGGGTCGTTCGATATTGATTAGGCTCTCGGCTCTCTATTTAACCAACTGAAAAAAAGAAGAAGAAAAGGACACCAGCAGCTAGCCCTAGCCCGTCGTCCTCCCCAACCCTGCCTCCGCGCCGCCGCTGCTGGTGACGGCGTCGCCACAGCCGTCGTCGTCCGCCGCCGCCAATCGATTCCCTGCTCGGCTGCCTCTTGGTGTGCTACTGCTGCCAAATTCCTGTTGTTGCTGCTGCCGATCCGATCTTTTAATTGCCGCTGCTGCTAATGCATGGCTTGATGCCTTGATGTGCTGCGATCTGGTCTCTTCATCGCTGCTGCTGCTGACTGCTGCTGCTGCTGCTGACTGCTGCTGACTGCTGCTGTTAGGGAGGAGAAGGGCGCAGGAGAGCAGGAGGAAGAAGGAATTTGGGGATTTCGGTCATTTTGCAACTAGCGGGTTTGTTCTCAAATTCTAGTATCCACGCTGCAGCGGTACTTTTGGCTACTCCCTAGAAGTATAAGATTCAAATAGAAATTTATTCGATAGTCGTTTGTGCAATTTTTGAAGTTATTGATTATAGGCTAAAACCGTATTTTCAAATCTGATATTAAACCGTCGGGATTCAGGTTAGTTGTCCTAAATAAAGTTTGTAGCCATCGTCGATATCTTTCTATCGATTCCGATAAATGGTTTAGGAGAAACAACGGAGACAGTACTGCTGACCGGGTCCTTATTTTCACGTGGAATTTATGGAGCTAGGATGGTTAGCAATGTGTTGGTTAATTCGTTATTGATCTATCATATAACTGTCTGTCGTGGATGTCCGTATTTTTAGAAGAGACTCTGCCGAAATTTCTAATAATTTCGGGAGTTAGTAGTTTTGAGTGTTTTTTTAGTGTGGCACTCTAGGTACGTGGCTACTAGGGATGGCAACGAGGACATCCCCGGCGGAGAGTGGTCACCCGTCCCCGTCCCCGGGCGAACTGAAATCCCCCACTCCCCGTCCCCGGCCCCGTCGCCGGGGATGATTTTTGGCCGTCCCCGTCCCCAACCGGGGTTCCGGGGGCCACACACCCCGAAACGAGGAGAAGAACTATACTAGTACTACTCAACGAGCAAAACGCCGTGTAGTCGCTTGATTTTTTATCCTATGCTGCATCTTAATACTGGATTCTCCACTGCCCCTGTAGTCGCTTGGTTTGCCGTGTTTCGATCATATACTTGTTTGAGCTGAAATTCTACGTACTTTACACTCTTCATTCGTGGAACGGGAAAAAAGAAAGGGAGAAAACGAACTTTTCCTGGTTTTCATGCCGTTTAGGCCAAACTGGAGCTGTCGAACCAAACTCCAAGAAACACTATAAAAAAAACATTTTTTCCTGGACGAGACTCCCTTCAGTTTACAGGCGAACCGTAACTAATCGCCTCTGCAAAAATCGACCTGCATTCGCATACGGCTTTATAAAAGACCCGCATGCAAAGATCGATTTTTACAAGTGGATATCTTAACAGGCCCACCTACGAAAAGTCCAACCAACCTCCCTCCATCCTCATTCTCTCTCCTCATGCTCCCACCACCGGCGAAGAAGGGCGGGCTGCCAGCGGCGGGCGGTGAGTGAACCGCCGCCGCCGACGGGAGGAGGAGAAGGGCATGAGCGGCTGGGCTCGATGGGTGGCAAGCGGGCCGCCATTGACGACGGGAGGAGGAGAACAAAGGCCGGAGCAGCTGGGCTCGATGGGCGGTGGGTGGTGGGATCCGGCGGCCCCGTGATAGCCGGATCCGCACCGCCAACGGCTTTTAGGGTTAGGGTCTCGGGATTTTTGGATTTTTATTTTTTGCATACGGACGACATACGCACCAGCGTGCCAAAATCTTATTTTCGCGTGCGGGTGCGCTACTCACATGAAAAAAGAAAGTAGCAAATTTCGCAGATACCTGTGTGTGTGCGGGGCTGTTCAGTCGCCTAAAAAATCGGATTTGACCGCATGAAAAACGATTTGGCTAAAATTATGTCGATAGGTTTTTTTTGCCTCAGTTGATTTTTGAGCCACTTGATATTCTCCTATATTCGTGCAGGTGCGGTACGGGTACATTGTAAATACATGCTGACTATTTTTTGGTAAAAAATATGGCGCCATAAATATAGCTGCTCCCTTGATTAAAGTAGAACAAACATGCATGGCCGTGGGTCCGTACGTGGCACAAGCTAACTGTGAGCGATCGCTGCATGAATATTAGTAGTACGAGACAAAAGAATGTTACTCCTTTCTCAGTACTGCCAATGCAGTGAATCTAGTTGATTCATTTCTTTTAACAGGAAGCTAGTGAGTAGGGAACAAATACTCCCAAATTATAGTGTATATACTTGAGTTACATCTCAATTATAATATAATTATATCCTACTTACATATTAATTACATAGTGTTAACTAAGATATAATTACACCGTAAGTAGGATGTAATTACAAAAATAGGATAAGAATAAGTAAACAACTGATGTGCACGTTAATGATCCACCAAGATTGATTAAATTACCGCTGGGGAAGAGCTTTACTTCTAGTTAGCAACCTTTTTTAGTTTTGGTTGTGCAACCGGATGCCAATCCGAAACTAAAGATGTATATCTTTAGTCCTGGTTAAAATGACTAAAAATATCTATCTTTAGTCTCGGTTGAAATAATCAAGACTAAAGATATATACCAAGAAAAAAAAACATATATGTGGGATGTGAGATTAGTTGTCCATCATACCAAGTTAAAAAAAAATATGTGGGATGTGAGACTCAAACTCAAGATCTCTCACTTCAGCCCTCACTCGCGTTATCATCCCATCTACTACACACATATGATGACTTGGATACTTTTGAAACTAACCATGGAAGCATCTTTTATCTGGGTTGGTAACACCAACTAAGACTAAAGATCAATTTTTAGTTCGAATTGGTAAGTGGGGGGCTGACATGGCCCGACAGCTATTGAACCATGGCTAAAAATGATCTTTAGTCCCGATTGGTGTTACCAACCGAGAATAAAGATCATAAAGTGCCATTGGGCTTTTGAACCGGGGTTAAAGATATTATTTAGTCCTTGTTTCCATTCGAAATAGAACAAATGTGATTTTTGCCATCCGAGCAAAGATCAATTCAACAGTAATGAATATTGCTATTATGTATTCATCTCTACTATAGTGGAAAAAATCGAATGATTTTTACTCAAAAATTATGTCGGCACATATTTAGATACTCCCCAAAAATGCTTTTCTAGAAATGGAAAACCAGATCCAAACAGAAGGAACATCTAATGTAATGTGGAATAACTCATAGTACATGTACAATGGAAACTAATAATGCAAAATGCATCGTCAAAGGAATGGTCCGATAGAAATTTAGTACTGAGGCGTTCTCTCTGTGTTTTTTTTTTTGATTTGATGCGCGCACGCACACGTACACATCAATCCACACCCATAACAAGTGCGTGCGCTAGATACAATAGATGAAACTACAGCAAAATTTCGTTGTAAATGCGATCATGCAACTAAATTAAGTTAGAAAAAGTACCTGCTTTCATGAGCAAAGCTTCTAAGACAATAGTCTATAAAAATTGATTTTTACATATAGTCCTTTGAGCTATGCATTTCCAATGGTTCATTGTTTAGACTGCGTGGAAAACAAAAGAAGTATCTACGAAAATAGTTATATATAATACACCATATCGCACATGGATTCAGATTGGGTGACATATGGTAGGAATATCACATGGTGACATAGGGTGAATCTCGGCCCTCCAAAACAAATACAACGGCTGAGATTCGTCCACGTCATCACGAGTAAAAATTTTACTCCCTGTAAAACTTTTACTCCTGAAATTTTACTCCCAATAAAATTTTGAGTAAATTACACTTTTCACCACTTATTATTGCCATAGTTGCAGTTTGGACCAGGTCCACTGTATTCTTTTCACTTAAGACCATGAAAACTTACCACTCATTGCAGCTTGGACCTACCATATCCCTTCTTCTCTAATTACTCCTGCACCAATGATGGCTCCAAGCTCCTTCCGCCTCCACCCATTCCCTAGCTAGGAGCCTAGGAGCATAGGATAGCAGGTGCAAGGACTTGCCGACTACTCGACTTTCTCCACGGTTCCACCACCTTCAGCCGCCAGTACATCATTATGCAGTTATTCATGCTCCACCGGTCCACGGACGGAGCAGCACAGATTGACAACTACACCTTCTAACTCACTGGTCACCATAGTGTTCACGGAGTTGCTCATCGCGCTCAAGCGCTACATTGCTCCACCGCGACAGGACGTGCCTCAATGTAGCAATGCGTAGCAAACAGTGCTCGACGCGAGAGATCTATTGGCACACACCGCGCATCCCCTGCAACCAGCCCGATGACGCTGTGCTCGTGCTCGTTGCCGCCGCATAGCCATAACCATCTTCTCCGACATGTTATTTGCCTATGTCGAGTTGGCTGCGAGAGCTTCAAGTTCAAGCCTGGTCCCTATCTCTAGCATCTTCAAGCTCGATGACCCAGCACCCAGGCACCAAGCAGTAGGCTCTTTCTTGCATATCTATGTTCGACAAGCTATCCATAGCAGGCAACAACAAGCTTGTTCTGTTTCTCGAAGAACTAGGAGCCAGCCATGGGGGCAGGAACGCAGCAATGGCCGCTAGAAGGAACTGGTCCAGTCCAATGTGCAACAAAATGTAAATTTATATGGTCTAAAGTGAAAACAGTACTATATGCCTAGCCCAAGTTGCAACAAGGGTAAAAATAACTGGCCCAATGTGTAATTGACTCTAAAATTTTTACTCCTGAGTAAATTTGTGAGTAAAATTTTTACTCATGATGATATGGACGAATCTCAGCCGTTGGATTTGTTTCCGTTGGATTTGTTTTGGAGGAACGAGATTCACCCTATCTCACATTATGACATGCCTACCCTATGTCACCCAATCCCAATCCATCGCACACATATAAAAACACATTTCCCTAGGCGAACAGCTTAACCAGTCCACCTATATGGCATGTAAGTATCCGTCAGATAAAATTAATACATGTTTTCATAAGCCGGCGCTTAGGTGATCCATCCGTGTAAATCGGCCTATTTCACATGCGGGTCTTTCACACGCCCACCTCTAATAATGTATTTACCGAGGTGCGTGCTCATTAGAAGATCATCATGTAAAAATACCTACTACTTAAAGGACCCATTTAAATCGCAGGATTGAGAAAACATAGTAATAGAAAAAACGTTGGATTTTGATAGGAATGTAAATGTAAAACAGAGAATTGCAAAACGCAGGAAAAACACATGAATGACCGTTTAATTGAACCGCGAGAAAGATGCAGAAATTGGATGAGAGAGATAGACTCAAAGGAAAGTTACCAGTGCAAGAGGTTGAAACTTTTACTAAATTTCCTCCAAAATATCTATAGAATTGTCAATTCCATAGAAATTTCAAAGGATTGGATATGATTCAATCCTTTGTTTCATAGGATATCATAGAAAATTTTCCTATAGGATTGAAATCCTCCAAAATTTCTATGTTTTTTCTCCAATTCAAAGGGGCCCATAACTCTTGTTTCTCACAAGGCGCTCCCTTTAGAATAATCTATCCAACCGAAAGAAGCAATTTCTTGCCTGAGAAAATAAAGTTTTGCT